TTCGTTGATTTATTTATTTATTTTTGAGCTTGAATAAACTTATAGGCTTAGGTTATGACTTTATTCACTATAAATGGAATGATGGGGAAAGTTGTAATTACAAATTTGGTTGGTTTGGTTGCCAGAATCAGGAGTATTAATGAATTCTTTTTAATAGTGGCATTCTTTGTGATTGTGCAAAGATTGGTGTTGAAGTCGTACTGGGACGACGATGATTGTATTTGTGAGTTGAGATACAATGTGGTTGAACTTGAGTGAGCTCAATTTGGTTATAGCCGAAATGTGAACGTGTTTGTGTATCACTATTTTCTTGAATTGTTGCATCCGTGGATAGTAATTTGATAGTGGAAATTTCGAGGAAATTTTTTTTTTTTTTTTTAAGGGGGGAAGAATGTGAAATCCCATTCCCGGATTTCACTGTTATAATCTACGTATTTATATTATTGAGATTTTATATTATTTTTTGAGAAATTATATTAATTTATTTGGATTTAGATCTTAATTAAATTAGTTACAAAGTTTGAAGTTTGGAAAGTAATTATCTAAAATTCGTTGACCTTTCGAGGTCACAAGTAACGTATTCGAATAGATCTTGAAACTACGAGCGCAATAGGCGAAAGCCGTTTACGAGTCTGGATTATAACAGTATAGATACAAACATTTGAAGTTGTGTTACTAAACTATAGATTTTAAATTTATTTAAACTCCCATCTTGTGGGAAGAAGGCCAATGATATTTATGTGAGTTAAGGGGAATTGACCAATCAACAAGGGGAGAGGGGAGAAAGGAGAGAGGTGGGAGAGAAAAGGAGGGGGGAACAACCCAATCAGAAAAAAGGGGCAAAGGAGGGGAAAGGAAAGACCCAAAACGGGTAATTTTCGTCCGGAACCACCATATTTGACCCGACCATATCTTCTTCATCTGACTTCTGTTTTGGGTGATCTTGGTGTCCATGGAAAGCTCTTGATGAGTCCTACATCCCTGTAGTGTTAGATTCCATTTTTTCCTTTCCATTTTTCTAGGTTGAAGCCACAAAGTGCCAAGGGTTTTCTAGCGAGTTTTCTCATTGTACGGTGATTTTGACAATAATTACCGTCGATCATCACTACCAATAGACTCACCTCAACCCCTGGAGCAAGGCCTAAGCATTGGATGAGGCGTCGAAGTTTGTTTTGGCGATGAATCAAGGAACAACCATTTCTAGGGTCTCCAGTGGGTTTGGATGAAATTGAGACACTTCCCGCCGAATTGGACTTGGCCATAGTTTTATGAAGTGGGATTTGACGTGCATATTGGAAATATGGTTTGTTTTGTATGATTGGCTTGATTTAATAAAAGGTGAAGGCTAGTGGTGAAACGTTAACCCATCGTCATGGGGTTTGTTGCTTCGAATCGTGTTTCACCCCTCGTTTCTTTATTTCATTTCTTGTTCTGTTGAGCCTTTATAACTTGAGTAACTTGATTCATGTGTTGATTCATTGATTTGTTGTTATGCATTGTGATCCATGATTCCGTTGAGTGATGGTCTGGAATCGTGTCCTGGGTCGGATTCCGTTGAGTGATGGTCCAGAATCCTTCCTATTGCACTCCACGATTCTGTTGAGTGATGGTCCAGAATCGTATCCTAGTTTGGATTCCGTTGAGTGATGGTCCGTAATTGTATCCTGGTTTGGATTCCATTGAATGATGGTCCGGAATCCCCTTTGGTATCTTGGTTCCATTGGGTGGTCCAAAATCCCCTTTCTCTAGAGATGTAGTCTTTGGCCAAACTGTGTCGCTCTAGCCTCGCATTTCGACGTGTTGTATGTGTTATTGATGATGTGGTTGGCATTATTGATTGATGTGATTAAGGAATGATGTTGGTTATGGTTATGGTAATTATGATTAGACTCGCTGACCATTGTGACTAGTGAATAAGATTGTGCTCTGTCGTTTATTCCTTGTAATATTGCAAGTTATGCATTGTGATATATTGTTGAGACATAATGATTTATGTGATGAATATTCGAGTGTAGTGAAATGATGAACTACGAATGACTTGATCCCTATTTAGGGTATGTAGGCAGTCTAACGAGGAGGTTAGATGCATCCATAAAATATATGAAAATTACGATGCAATTCGAATATTGAGTTATGCTTTGTACATATCCCGGAGGCGGGGTATGTTAAAGATACGGATATTTGGTAATGTCACGTGTCGATTCTAGACGTATGTTGGGATCGGGGACAATACATAAGGAAAAAAAAAATTAGGCCCAATCCCTAGAACTTGCACAAATTAACCTGCCTAGAAAGGTTTTTTTTATTATTATTTTTTTAATTTTTTTTTTTTAACAAACGATAGTATCTACACTAAGAGGGAGGGGGTAAGCTTAGCCTCATAATGGGCTAGTAATAATGTGGTTCAAATTCGCTTTTGACGAGAATCGAACTTAAGACCTCTCACTTACAAGTGAAGAAAAATATCACTAGACCGTAGCACTAAGTGGCTGCCTAGAAAAGGTTTTGGTGGGCTGGTTTGGTCATTTACTTAGGTGAAAAATGTGTTTACACAATGTCATCTGAACTTTGAATATCTGTAATTCATACTCATATTAGATATAAGATAAAAAAAACAATTAGACCCAATCAATAGAACTTGCCCAACCCAACTCACCTAGAAATAATTCGTACTCATATTAGATATAAGATAAAAAAAAACAATTAGACCCAATCAATAGAACTTGCCCAACCCAACTCACCTAGAAATAATTCGGGTGTGTAAGTTTGTCCATTTACTTAAGTTACAATGTGTTTTAACAACGCCAACCCGAATCTTTTGGGTTGGCCAACAGGTTGAAGTCCAACCCGAGCCAAACCACCTAATGCTCATTGCTAAAATAAAGACAATTTATACTCTTATTAAACTGATATGATATTTTACATGGATATAATGTCAACACAAAAATGTTCACGAATTGTTAGCATTGCTTAGGCTCTCTTAAAAACTAGTTGAGAGAGATTGATACCTACAATGAATATTTTAGCAGACGACAATAACATCTCTTATCAAACTGTTACGACGTATTTCTTATGCATATATTCAAGTGATAAAACTCAACTTGTAATTTTATGTCGTTAAACTATTTTACATATTACAAGAATGTCATGTCATTCTACATAAAGTACGATTATATAAAAATATGCATGTTATTTGATAATTGATCACAACTTTTTATTTCCCTACTTAAAAATATAGCATGTTTGACAAATCTAAGGTTGGATCCTTGATCCCTCTGTCAATGCCTTTGAAATTTATAACGAAATCTCAACTTTCTTCATAATATCACGTTAGGCAGACAACTTAACAATATGTTTCAACATAATATTTTACAAACTTCCATTATTTACTTTAATTTATATGATGGTAGTGCTATTCACACACTTTTTTTTACTTTACACACACTCGTGTTAAATTTATTATCCATTAATTTTTTTCAATTTATTCGATCTGTACGCTAAGTGAGAAATAAGAAGTCCCTTTGGAGATGACACCACCCCTTATATAATTGTTAGGGATGTGATATTCAAACACTCTATTTTACTTTTACACATCTTTTAATAATTTCTGTCCGTTAATCTTTTTCAATTCATTCGATCTGACGTTCGAAAATTAAAAAAATGTTTAAAAAATAAAATAGGATATACGAATGGCACACTCCATTTACTTTGCATGTACTTTGCAGTTCACCTGAAGAGGATTAGTTTAATCACATCATTACATGTCTGTGGTCATACTTTTATAAAATCTTGCAGCAAAAGGACAACTCTGTGTCTGTCATCTTCCCACAGTTGCATGGACCTCTTTTAGTCACATGTCAAATTCCAGGGACATTACAGTGCTAAAAACTCACAGCGGTTTTGTCTTTTTGGCTTGTGGTATATTTTTTATTTTTGATTATTTATTTGATATATACTAGCAATTGTACACACGGTATATATGTATTAATTTTTTTTTTAAATAAAGTTTGCGAAGAGAGAATATAAATGATCGTTAAAACCTCTTTTAGCAATTGTTTTTAGATAAGTATTTTGTCACTAAAAATTTATTGTATTAGAGAAAAACGTGAGATGGAAAATAGGGCAAAAGATAAGTAAAATTATTTTGTGCCTTCAAGGACATCCGATAAAAATAAAAAGTAGAATTATTTAATTTATTAATTGCATATAATTTTTATTTTGGTTATTTTTTTAAAATATTGTTGTTAGTTTTGCCGATAGAGTTAATTTTCTCAATTTTTTATTTGATAAAGAGAGCTTTGCCAGTAAAAACTTTTTTTTCAATAAATTATTTAGATAAACAAAATTAAATGCAGTACACATACTATGTTTGTGATTTAAAATTTTAAAAAGGATTAAATTTAATTAATGTCAATTTATGTAAAAAAATTAGTGGATTGGGGAAGTTAAAAAAAGTGAAAAGAAAAGTAGACGCATGTGCAAATGAGAGAGAGAGAGAGAGAGAGAGAGTTTAGTGTATTGATTAAGCGACATGGTTATGAGATTAAAAAAAACAAAAATTTATTTGTACGAAATTACTTTGATGGTTATATTTTTATTGTTTCTAATATTTTCTTTAGTTATGTATAAAAGGGTATAATATTATTTTCATTAGTTTTTTGTTGACAAACTTGGTTATATTAATTTGTAGTTTAGATAATTAATTTTTTTTAAAAGGAAAAAAAAATAATGGAGGGTAATACCGTAATGTTGTTGTAGATTTGGCGCGTATGTAAACCACCAACGGACTCAGACTCAGAGGAGAGAGAGAGGAGAGAGAGTGATTAAATAAATAATAAATAAAAAAGAAAATGAAACCTCTAAAAATTAAGGAGAGAAAAGTAAGAGACCAAAACCAAAAAACGCTTTGAAAACTTTGAGAGAGAGAAACCCAAAACCATAACGAAAACTTAAACAGGAGGAAGGGAGGGAGGGAGAGAGAGAGAGAGAGAGAGAGAAAGAGAGGGGGAGAGAGAGAGGGAGAAACACACATACAGTGTTTTTGTGTGTGTGTGTGTCTGTGAGGGGAGGGAGGGAGGGGGAGAGAGAGAGAGAGAGAGAGAGAGAGAGGAGCCCTGAAAATCCAAACCCTTTTCAGAATTCCATCTCTCTGATAACTTCATTTGATCATAATCTCTCATTCTTCCTGTACAGAGAGAGATTGAGGGGAGAGAAAGGGAGAGAGGAGAGAGATTGTGGAAAAAGTCGAGATATTTAAGTGAAGAATCGAAGTGATTTCAGTGTGACCGTACAATGGAGCGGTACGGTCGGACCGCAGAAGGGTCACAGTCCGATCCGTCGCCGGAGTGGAACCTTCCGGGACCCGAAACAGGGCTGGAAGGTGTGACTCTTCTCTCCCCAATACACTCCGCATTTCAATTTCGTTCGGATTCGGATTCGATTTCGGGTTTTGGGGGTTGCGACTTGGTGGGTTTTGAGGCGAATGCGGCTCCGTTTTTCCGAATTGGTTTTTGATCCTTTCGCTTTGTGTGATAATGCAGGGTCCATGAGGCAGTTGGGGCTCGGACCCGGGGAATCGTACCCGGAGCGATCCGACGAGGCCGATTGCAGTTACTACTTGAGGACTGGGATTTGTGGGTACGGCTCTCGGTGTCGGTACAACCATCCCCGTGATCGCAGTGTGGTAATTTTATTGAATTGCCCTTTTTTTGCTGCTTTAATTGGTTGAATTTGGGGCTTAATTGGATGGTGATTGATTGATTACCAGTGTGGTGCTTTCGTTTTTGTTTTGATCTTGTGTGGTAGTAGAGATATTGTGGGTTTCGTCTGTAGATTTGATGATCAAGTTTGTGGTATTAAGCAATTTGATTAGTGGGATTGTTCTGAATTTGTTGAATTTCAAGTCGTTGTGGAGAAAATTTGAACTTTTTAAATTAATGGTTAATGCTGATATGATTACCTGTTTACTAGTTAAGTTTGAGCGGTACATATTTCTCAGGTTATCGGAGCGGCAAGAACTGGAGGATTAGAGTACCCTGAGCGAGCGGGCCAGCCGGTGTGCCAGGTACTTATCTTTTTTTCGAGTTTAGGCCAAAATGTTGCCTTGGCATAGTATGCATTTACAGGATTCCAGCAGATCACATATTCAGCTTCCGGTCTTATGTGTTCTGCATAGAGTAGCATCCTCTATTGACGATTGCATGCTTTGCTGTCCTGAAAATTTGTGAATCCCCTTTGTTTGATTGCTCTGTAATTCTTTGATGGCAGTATTATATGAGGACAGGGACTTGCAAATTCGGCGCTTCGTGTAAGTACCACCATCCTAAGCAGGGAGGGAGCTCTGATAGCCCTGTTTCATTAAACTATTATGGATATCCATTGCGGCCGGTCTGTAATTCTCAAATTTGAACTTCTATTTCTTCAACTCATTGTCATATTATATATCCAACTTCATGATTGTGAGGTAAAGTATTGTAATCATGGTTATTTTGCAAATAAAACAGAGCGAAAGAGATTGTTCCTACTATGTGAAAACTGGACAGTGTAAGTTTGGTGCAACTTGTAAATTCCATCATCCACAGCCGGCTGGCATACAGCTTCCTGGGCCATCACCAGCACCTCAAGTTTCACCTGTACCTGCTACACACACATTGTATCAAAATGTGCAATCTCCGTCTGTTTCATCACAACAGTATGGAGTAGTATTTGCAAGGCCTCCTTTAACATATGTTCCAAGCCCCTATGATCAAGTGCTGCTTTCCCAGGGCCCAATTCCTTTCCCAGGTTGGAATCCATATCAGGTAAATAACATTTCCTGCTCCATTATCTTTTAAGTTACATGAATTTCCCTTAAGCTGTTAGTCATGTGGTGCAGGCACTTGCAAGCCAATTGCCCTCTCCGAGTACTCAATCTGGTGTTGGTGCTAGGACACTGTATACCCAACTATCTCCTTCAGCGCCTGCATTTACCGGAATGTATCAACCGATGCCTTTAGCTTCCTCTCTTGGTCTTCCAACTACTAGCCAGAAGGAGCAAATATTTCCAGAAAGACCTGGTCAGCCAGAATGCCAGTATTTCATGAGAACAGGGGATTGTAAATTTGGTTCCTCATGTAGATATCATCATCCGCCAGAAGTTGTTCAATCAAAAACAACTGTTCTCCTTAGCTCCAGTGGTCTTCCTTTACGCCCGGTGAGCCGCCCTTACAAATCCTTTTTAGCATGATGCTTTTACTAGGCATGAACCAGGAGCTTGTTTACATAGCAACACTCAAATCTTTGTGGGAAATATGTGCTGAAACGAATATGTTGGTTGCTGCTGATAGATGGTAATTATTTGGTTTGAAATTATGTAAGTTACAGCTATCTGGATCATGATGATTTTTGGACCCAGGGTCCATTTTAGGGAGCCTCATTTAATTTTGGGTCCCTTTCGGTGTTTTTTTTTTTTTTTTTTTTTTTTTTTTCAATTTTCCTTGCATTTATGCTTTTTTTGTTGTTACTTCCAGGTGATATTGTCTGTAAAGTCTGCTAGTCTGCATTTTTACTAGTTGCGCGTATTATACTACTAATTATGTTGGTTGTCACGATCTTTATTTTTATTAGTTAACATGCTGGCCTTCTTTCTTAGTATGAATTGCTATGTTAAGTTTGCTTGCTTGTACGTTTTTGTACTGTGAATGCCTTCTTGGTAAGTTATACACTTTTCTCCTCACGCATACTTATTTTTTTCTCTGTGAATTTGAAATTCTATGTGGTAATCAGGGTGCTCCACTTTGCACTCACTATCAACAACGTGGAGCATGCAAGTTTGGATCCGCATGCAAATTTGACCACCCAATTGGAACACTCAGTTACAGCCCATCAGCGTCTTCTCTTGCTGATATGCCAGTTGCACCCTACCCAGTGGGATCATCAATTGGTAAACTAGCCCCGTCATCCTCATCCTCGGAGCTGCGACCTGAGCTTAGTTCAAGCTCTGGAAAGGACTTGGTTTCAGCCAGAATGTCTTCGTCACTGAGCACTTCAAGTTTATCAGTAGGTTCAACTGTTTCTAAGGGTGGTGTTACCCCTGCGGGTGTCCAACAGTCTTCTCAGGGTTCCGGTCCTTCAAGTGGCAGTGGCAACAGTACAGAGTCTCATAGTTCAAGCTAAGAAAATGTCAAGCAATTTTTCATTCTTCCTTTTTGATCAACTTTCTCCCAAAGTATCATTTTTTACCTTTTTCAAGTCCTCCAACAGAGGCTTCAATTCTCACTGCCTTAGCATACATCAGTCATGTTCATCTCTGTGTTTATATCATCTTTATACGGCCATCCCTTTTATCTCGAATAAGCCATGGCCGACCTCCAAAATTTTAGCAAACCGCATATAGCCTTCCCGTCTCTCTCTTCAATAACCTTGAAAGAATTTGCGGTTCCTTGAGGCAAATCCGTGTCCAGATCTTCAATTTTGGAGTGTTATCCTCATATGTGCTCAATCCTTTTTCAGAATGAAAAGAATAGTTCCAGGCGATCTTGCCTTTCCAATGACCGTGCATTCGCGTCTATCCTTTTCTGAATTTTCCTTTTCTAAACCAGGGAACGAGCTTTCAGTTAAAAACTTGGGAGTTTGAATTCATGTTCCCCCACTCTTTGTCCAAGGTCTATTTTCGATAACAGAAGCAAATTAAAGACCGAAAGAAGAAGGCATCACAGTGCTTGCTACTTTATTTGGGATCTTCAGATACATAGTTATATTCTGTTGTGTCAATTGAAATGCTTGACCATGTTTTTTATGTTATGAAATACAAAATATATGAAGAAGCACTCTTTGACTCTGTAATAATCTTTCTCTTCCATTATTTCATTGAGCGAGGAGAAAATCATCTTTGTTACTTTCTTTACACTGCTTACATACATACATGCATGCGCGCATGCATTGGTACTGTGAAATGACCTAGATTGCATGCGGGTCAGACCAGTTGGTAAGAGAAGTGTGTTTGTCCCCTTGTGTTTAAGTTCAAATATGTTCTCTCTGTGTTAGAGTAGCTTAATATATGTGTCGTCTTGTCAAAAAGAAAAAAAAAAATTTGGGCATGCACTTCCCTTTTCTTTTGGGTACTTGTTGGCAACTCTTTCAGATTGCTTATATGGCAGCATGGCCCTTAGATGAACCTTGTTAGAAAGTTGGAAATCCTTTTTCACCCATTTTCTTCTTAAAAGTAATATGAACTATGAGAAAAATAATTTGAACTTAAGTCTTCAGTGCATAAGAGGGGATGCATTCGCTTTAGCCAACGTGATTACATCCACATCTGCATATGACAACAAAAATCATTGCATGCAAAACTTGGTCCAATTTGGTTCATCAAAGAGTACAAGTTTTGCCTTTAAATTTCTTCCATTCTAAATATGGATTGAAGTTAAAACTGATGGGATGTGCGGTAGTTTAGGGAACTTTATGGCTTTGGTCATGTCTTCACACTCCTCCCAAAGATTTTTCACAAGTACCATATGATTGAGCACAAGATATTCCCAAGGAAAAAAGATATCATTGACATGGGGTTTATTTATAGGATGGTGTTATTTGCACATTAATTTTTAATTACCTCCTACACACATTTGTTTTTGTCATTGATCTTCTTTTATTCATGTGATCTGATGGCCAAACATTAAGAAGAGTGTTGGAAAAGTAAAAGCACTGCCTTATTTATATATGCAGGAATTTCCCATAATACCCCAGTCTCCCATCCAAGAAAATGCACAATTACATGGCCAAAAAGCTAAATAATGAGACATTTTCCAGTCTAATTTATTTGACGGAGTGACCGACAAAGAGACAAGAGGAATCCAGGTTTGAAGACAATGAACTGTGTTGGGCAAAATTAATGGATCTCCTTTCCTTACCTTCCAAACCATGCCAGTTGTGCTTGATGACCATCCTTGTAAAGAAAAACAAAGGGACAAAAAAGCACTAAAATGAAGTGCGTATGTATCCAACTTTAATCTTGGAGTAGACAAGAACTCTTGGGATATATTTAGGAGCCTTGTATGTTACCCTTACTTTCATAAATTGAGGAGAATATATAGATTTATTCCCTATGGTCATCTTATAATGTAAGTTGTCGAGTGTCGAGCTTTAATTATTGTAACACGTCACTTTTTAACATGAACGATAATGAAAGAAATAAGATCGACCAGATGAATGTTTGAACGAATGATATTAACTATTTAATCTACAAGCTTGTTGAAGAGTACCCATATGAACTACAACTTTGCATAGCATAGAAACTAGAAAGCATAACAAAAAGCTAGAACCGTTATTGCAAAAGCACTAATACTTTGCACTTGTGTGGCTGAGAAGTTTAGTGGTCCATGTCCCTTTTTGCATCCAAATTAAGTTGCATGCATCTTTTTGTTAGGCTACGTTGTCAGTTAAAGGTCAGGCAGATAGCCGTAAAGATAGACACATAATGCAGTTATTATATTATGCAATAAAGCCATTAAAGTGCTAGCTAATATCATCAAATATTGGTACAAAAATATATATGTGACGAAAGACGTAGAACTTACAATGAAGGAGAAAGGGTTGCAAGAAAAGCTCAAGACACAAGAAAAATAAATGCATGCGCATGATTAATGGATAATTTCCATTGGTGCACGTACGCACCAGAAGTTAATCAAACGAGTGAGTGGCCAAACTCAATGACTGCATCACCAAAAGCGGGAACTGATGGAGAGCAAGAGAATGAAGAAGAAGATCCATAAGCACTTGACTTTTCGACGATCGGATACAACGCTCCCATGCATCCATCTTCAATCATCATAGGATTGAACTCCCATGGCTGCTGGTTATCCCAGAATCCATGACTGAATCCATCAAAGCAAGGAATATGATGATCTCCATTGTTGTTATTACAAGCTGCTTGCACATTCGCAACATCTAGAGGAAATGTAGCACTAGTGGAGTTATTAGGGTTTGAAAAACTACAATTTTGATCAATTTTCAAAGCTTTTGAGTTTGTGTAATTTGTGGGGTGGTGATTATCCGAAGGAGGCCTCAGGCAACTATCAGGAACAATGCAGGCCAAATAGCCCGAGTTAGAATTACTCGAATCGCCAGAGAAAAAGAAACCCTCATCATCCTCATCATGTGCCGATGATGATGACCTAATATTATTAGGGTTTTGAAATTGGATTTGATCAGACTGAAAAATGTTAGAATGATGAGGTGGACTGTTTTGATTGGTGAATTTTTGTTTAGCAGTCTGAGTGGTGAAAAACTGTGATTGCTGTGGTAAAAGGGTTTGGACATCAAAGGGTGAGACGAAAGATTGGAAAGTTGTGTTGTCAGAGTAAATGAAGTTGGTTCTTGCTTGTGAGCCTTTCATAGAGAGGGCAGCTCTGTCATAAGCAAAAGCTGCTTCTTGAGCAGTGTCAAAGGTGCCAAGCCAGTGCCTTTCTTTAGTGCTAGGGTCTCTGATTTCGGCTGCATATCTCCCCCAAGGCCTTCTCCTCACACCAAGAAACCTCCCTGGCTCGGCCTGCTTTCGCCTTCCTCTTCTCTCACCGGATTGAGAGGACGGAGGAGGTGTGCTTCTCTGCAGTACAGCAGCAAAACCCACCTGTGCCTGACCTTGCTCAAAAGCTTTGAAGGGTTTTTCTAGGGTTTTGGAGGTAGACATTGACATGGTACCGAAAATAGTAAGAAATTCTAGAGAAAATGTGAGAGAGTGCAGAAGGATATGAGAAGTGAAGGTTTTGGTTTTGGTTTCTGGATTTTGGATGGTGAAGTGTGTGGAAGTTGTGAGAAGGGTTTTAAAGACTATGATTTATAATCAGGAGGAGAGATAATTTAGTGTAAGTAAAGACATACGTGACAGATATTTATTGAACAAATGATGCGTTTTTTAAACACTTGACAAGTGTTTATTAGACGAGAAATACCACTAAGACTATGTTTTAGTTATAATAGAGAATCTTATGGAGATAAGGAGAGGGGGCAAGGAAAAGGACATTGCAGATGTCATTCTGTGGAAGACCATCCTTCCCTTTCCACCTACTTTTTTTTAAATCTTTCTTTTTCTGATTTCTATTTAATCCTGCATCTCTTCAACTGCAAATAATAATAAGCTAGCACTTGTAGGTGAAAAATAATGTGTAGATTCCCAGCAGTACTTGTCAAAAACTCGAAATGGAGGTCTGTAACTGCTCTAGGGTCTTTTATTTTCTAGCTACAGTCACTTTCTTCCAAGTTCCAATAAAACCCTAGAATATAAATTCTCTATCTATATGTAACTTGCGATTCCATATGAAAATGGTTTGGAAATTTACTCACTCATAACACTCTTAAGTTTCAAAGATGTTATTGTTGTGGCTTACTTAAGTTTCAAAGATGTTATTGTTGTGGCTTATTTCAATTGACAGGGAGAGAGGGGGCCAGCGACACAGAGAGAAAATAGAGAGATATGTGTTTGTAGGGTTGTGTGTAGAGCATGTGTTATTTTCCTATGCAGTGACTTTATTTATAGTAATAAGGGAGGGAAGAATCCTTCTCCTCCAAGGAATACAAATCTTAATAGGGTAGAATAACTAGAATAAAATATAATCTAAGATTTACACAATCACACTTAAATACAAAGTTTATGACAGTTATTATTTTATGAGGTAATTATTACATCATGTCTATGTAACTATTGGGATTTGTTTGTTTTATGAATTTAGGGTTTTGAATCTTAATGTGATCTACTCACGTGTGGATCTACCGTCTAATCTAGATGAAAATTGACAAGTAAACTTTATGCTTAATCTTCCATGAACCATTATAATACTAGAACTTAAGTTGCAGAAAGTCAATGTTTGAGGACTAAGAAGGGACTTGAATTGTCATATTACGGTTTGATCGTATTCCTCTTCACAGTGAGAGATCTTAGGTTCGAATCTCATAGATGGCAAATTCGATACCAAATTAGGTTGCCCAATGTGTGGCTTAACCGAACTTCCTCTCCCCTTGTGTAAAAATATCGATGTACTAAAAAAAAAAAAGGGGGGGGGACTTGAATCAATGATGTTTTTATTTTATTTTTTTTCAAAAATTTATATTATTATTAAGAGAAATGGGAGAGTTTGAAACTATTACAAGAATTTAGGGTAGAGGGAGTTTCGAACTCAGGACGCATAGGTGAAAACTCAACATCCTATGCACTAAGATATTGGACCACATGCAGAATCAATAATGATGATTGATGACTGGTAGATTAGAAAAAAATAATGTTCTTATCTCATATAAATGGAATCATAAAATGAAAATTTTCTAGATACATATCAAAATATGAGTTGTCTGAACGAAGAAATGCAACTTTTTACACATAAGGAACTAAGTATTTCTAATAAAAAAATCTTCAAAATTTAGATCAATCCTACATATATAAAACCAGCTGAAAAGGAAAACAACTGCGTGGTTTTTGAGTACCTACTCCAAGAAATGAATTCATAATGTACCAACAAAAATGATCTCCAATATTCACATGTAAATCCGCATTTTGTGCAACCAAATTCTTTGTAACAATTCGCATTTTCAAACGGAGCAGTTAAGATTTTTCTCAACTAAATCAAAATTATCAGAGAACAAAACATATTTTATTGAGTTTTTGTGGTCTACATCTTGGAAACAACCAACCCCACACCAGGACAGAAACAATAGGCTCCCTCGTAAGGAAGGGCCCATCACTCAAAGTTTTATGCTTGTTTTGTTTTGTTGGTTTATATATGCTTCACCATATAGGATGTTATTTTTTATTTTGTTTTCGTTCGTAGCAATACAAAACTAGTAAGCATATGAAATATGCAGAGTCAAATCATGCAGTGTCCACTGACCATATATTTCGTTTGATTTTTTTATTATTAATTGGGAGCGGCAATTGAAACTTAAAATTTCTTTTAACATTGGGAGAGAATTACCACTAGATGACCTAGTTGTTTCGTTAATTTTCAAGCTTGTTCAGTAATAGAAGATGTTTAAAATCCTGAGAATCTCCAAATTAAGTTGTCTAACTTTTTTTTTCGCCCTCCGAAGTTCTGCACTTGGTCACATATTTTCTATAAATCTGGAGTAGATATGTGCCGTCAAGAATCACAATACAATAACATAAGTTAATTTGACTAACAACATAAACATTAATATAATAACATAAATTTGGCTAGAAAACATTATTTTTATGTTTTTTAACTTCTAACGTACTATAAATTTGATTTTATATCCTAAATTGTACCATTAAATAGTTTCGAATGGTTGATTTTTTTGCTACTATCGATTATCTAACTTTTAATCTAGTGATACTCTTTTTCCAATGCCGACAAGATTTTAAGCCTAAATCACACCAGCTATCAAGCACATTATTAAATTTAAGTCATAAACAAAACCTTAATGATAACTTTGGGGACAAATTAAGGACTAAAGCATGCAGCAAGCAGACGTTCGACATTCCATATTTACTATAAGTTACTCACAAAGGACCCTCTTTCAAGTAAAATATATCAAGGTTGGATTTAGACATTGATCATCGTTTCCAAACTTCGAAAGCAATAAAAAAAAGGGCTAGGTCAAAAGGCAATCAAGAGCTTAAAAAAACACTTGCAAAGCAAGGTGGAGTAAACTGCCCAAACAAAAGTTATAAGTGGAGTGGGGCAAGTGTATTAACACATTTGATTATTTAGCAATTCCAGTAGGAAAAGTAATCTTTAAACCCGTTGATTAGTTAAACCTCACATTGCCAAAACGGCATGGGGAATGGCATAAACTAATCACAATGCCAAATGGGTCAACCTACTTTCAGTTCATTTAGCATTTCCAAATGTTGCAATGCTTTGCCACTGGTCACTGTCATGGTCTATTGTGTTTGTGTAACGAACCTAACAAATATGAATAATCATAAAAACATGTAAAATGTTATTTTTCCTTACATGCAAATCATAGTCTTATACATTAACTTATTAAAATAATAAATAAAAAATTATGCACGCTTGTCAAATAGTAATTTATGTGCGGTTATGAATAATTCTTCACATATAAGCAACCAAATGCTTTCTTATAGAAAAAGAGAAGAAAAAAAGGGGGACAAATTATCAATAGTGTATCAAATATGGAGAGAGGGGTTTACAACTTACAAGGGAAAATACTAAATAGTATGATTAATTACAAAAAATTGGTTCTTTTAAGAATGAGATGGACTCAATTGGAATCTATGACCTTTGACTCCTCCACTAAGAATTTGAAGAAACCCAATAAGATAGGATTGCTTCATGAAACCCCATCTTAATAAATTGTGGAAAATGAAGTATTTTTATGAATTTAACATTAAAAGAGCAGAAAGGTTTGGTCTTTGGTCTTTAGTCAAGCCCCATCTCAAAAAAGTGTTGAGCTAGTTGGAAGGGATGGAGTGTATAAATTAACATGACTAAATACTCATTAGATTTGCTTAAAACGTATTTACTTATTGGACTTGACCAAAAAAGATTTAAAAAAAAATTGCTTAAAATGGATAACAATTTTGTATTTAATATTGACAAAATAAAAAATAGAAAATAAAAATAAAAGAGATGTGGTAGGGGCCTCTCTGTGAGACTGTCCATTCCCTTGTTCCAAGTTTTTCTTTAACAAGTGTCTGGTGTTTAGTCAAATGAGAATTTTGCACATTGCCCCAAAACAAGCACATCATACTTTTCATTAGGGTTAAAGGTTCCCCCGGGATTTAGGGAAAATGATAGATGTGTCTTTGTTTTTAGGACTTGGACTTTGACACAGAGGGGGAGAGAGAGAGAGAGAGAGAGAGTTTATTGAGGTTTTGGAGCTTTGAGATTAGTGGTGGTCTTTATATTAATTCAAGAAAGGTTCTTTTGCACTTTGATTGGAAATGTCCCATTGTTAGATTTTAGCCTTTCGTGGTTCAGCTACTTTCTACTTTCCAGTAAACTGCAACACGCTCGTGTCTTTCCACTACGATGCAGTCAAATTATGTGTATGATAATAATAATATATAATAAGCTATTCATTTTTCATTTATGTTTCGACAATACTTTAATCTATCAAATCAAAGATAATATAAATTTGTTCACTTACTTAAGATTCATACATTTTTATCGTAGAAAATTTCTTAGTCCAAATGGTTCATTTCTTAATCATCGCTTAAATGAGATTGTTCACTCATTCGTATGTATCTAAAACTTGATAGTTTTGAAAGCAATTTTGATTATAATAATCTTTAAACAATGATTAACAAAGTGAACAATTTTAATTATGTAATATGTATGATGAAAATACGTTGATCTTACGCTTGATGAGGTGGGTGTAAGTTTGTTTTGGTTTTTTGAAATTATTTTTTCTTGAGAATACTACATACTATATTAGTGGCTTTATAGCTTGTGGGTGAAATGCTATTTGCCTGCCTAAATGATCATTGTGTTAATTTGCCAGAGTGATTGGGCGACGTGTGATTGGTTCTTATAAAAATAAAACCCTAGTGTTAGTGTGGTAGACCACTCCACGCTTTCATGGCCTTGATGGCATCTGTCTCTTTGGTATTGATAATTTGACATACTAAATTAACAAATGAATACTTAGTGATACCATCAAATAACACAACTCCAATGTAATACCAAGTTAAATTACTTTTTAGTTGATTACTACTTGACACACACTAACATAAACCATGACTAACCAACCCAATACTAAACATGTCAAGTTAGTATTAATCTTTGTTTAATGATAGTAAACAAAGATGCTCCGGTTTTGATTTAGCCCATGTAACTCCTTTGTCTTGAATACATAAAGAAAATGGAACAATATTCTCCAATTATCGTTACACATGCATTATATGAAGGTTTATTTTTAGAATTCGATTTTAATCTCATTTTACTTTCTGTAACTCAAAAGTCACAATTTTACTCTCTGTAACTCAAAATTTTACTCTATGAATGCTTGGGAGATTCAAAGATTATTTTAATAGTTTTCCTGTAATAGATTTAAGAATTATTTTATGATGTTCCGATGTATGAAATATTCTGAGTTTTATAACCGTTAAATTTGTTCAACTATACAACTCCATATCTAATGATTAAAAACCATGGTCCAAACACCGTAGAATTTTTGGAGATTTGGTTTAGAAACAGAAACCTATTTTGGTTCACAAGATACAACAGTGTAGAGATCTGCTAGTGTGCTAGGGAGTACGGACTACTGTTTGACGTAGAGGTCTGCTACTCCTGCCACGTGACGCTGTAGTGTAGAGTGCACAATCTGCAATGCCATAGCCAACGAGAGAGGATCTCGCCGGATCCTCTTTGTGAGGATCTCGCCGGATCCTCTTTGTGAAGATCGGGAGGATTCTTTAATTTTATTATTTTATTATACATCGTGTGGTTATAAATTATTTTAAATTATATTATTCAAAATTGAACAATAATAGTATCTAACGAAAACACAATATATGATAAACGAACATGATTAAAGGACCTCTACAACCTTCACGAAAAGAATACAGCCATGATCTATCTCGTAGCCAACAGGGACTACGTGATCAATATATCGATCATCCACTGTGTTTATAAAGTTGGAAACGTGGCGACCTCTCAATGCGTTTTCTGGTGTCACGATGACGTTGCAGAGAAGAAGAAGATCTTGGCCGTACAAATGTACGTGCCGACGTGGTACGTAAATCACGGAACATCCGACAGCGTAGAGTAAAATGATGAAGATACGAGGTTGAGGAACGGGAATGAACGAAGCAGGCAGCTCGGTACATCTTCCATTCTTCTTCTTCTTCATGCAGAGGGAGAGGAGAGAGAGAGAGAACAGTAAAAGCGAATCTTTAGAGAGAGAGAGAGAGAGAGAGAAGGGGGAGTGGTCAAAGATTGTATAAAAGGACGGTTGGATCGTGAGATTGGACGGCTACAAAGGTTCTGTTGTCGTTGCCTTGGGGAACAAACCACGATATTTACTCTACCCTCAACCCCTTCCCATGCAGAAACTAGAAACTCAAACTAAAACTGAACCGAACCAAAAATATACAGAAAAAAGCTGAAGTAAACAGTATAGTAGTAATTCTTGCTATTGGATTCTAATTTCATTAGAACTATGAGAAATGACGGAGTTTAACAAATGATGAACTACAAATGGCTTAAATTCTTTTTGGGTTATGTAAGCAGTCTAATACAAAAGTTTTATACAACCATAAAATAAGAAAAAAGGATACTACGCCGTTTTTGAACCGCTATTTTGTTTTTGGTCATGTCTCGAAGGTGAGACATGATAGCTGAACAGGTACAGATGTATGTTTTGGTGTCACATGTCGATTTTGAATGTATTTCGGAATCAATGCGTTTCTACTGAATAATGATACATGAAATACAAGGGGATTCCTTTTTCCTTGTAAATCTGAAGTGGCAATTGGCAATAGTTATATTGTTTTTAGTAGCTAGATTGCTTTCCTGTTTAGTTTAGACATCCTATTGGAGTTTCTTCTACTCTTCGTACACAGAAAGAAGCTTCACATCATTGGAAGATCAATCGGTAGTTATGACACAGTGCAAGCAGTTAAACCGACCTTTTAAGCCCTAAGGACATGGCTAGGAACATTGAACTACATTGCGGTGGGCTCATACAAGGGTATCCCTCGAATAAGCTTGTCTGAGGGCTCCCTCAATGAGCCTCCCTTTGTGTGCGTTCATCGTGTGGGATGCAAGTTCGTGTGTGAATGAGCGGGCCTTTGCTCTTGAGTATGCTTCTAGGTGTGCGAATGTGCGAACATTACCAGAAATGAAAGGATAACTAAAATTTTCTATAAATACATCAAAGCCTGTTTCATTCTTTCAACAGATGTTACTGAATTTCATGAGTTGTGTCGAGATCGTATATGGAGAAGAGAAACAAATTGCAAGAGCTGATACCCTTCTATTTCTATCGGTTAGCAGTGAAATAACACACGAGACCACGAGCTCACTTCCATTGAGGCCACTTGGTTGTTTCTGTGGATCCTTTCCTAAAACTTGAAAAACTGGAATTATCTGCAGCATCGTGCCATACCATTTCCATCTGAAGAAAGTAAATGAGAATATGTTGTCATTGGAAATTATATTAGAAGAAACAACGCTACAAGTTTTAAGTTGGACACTTCAATAAGGTAACAAAGTAATAACAGAGCAAAGAAACATACATCTCCAACAATCACCGTGTCGCCTTCTTTCACACCAAGTTTTATAAGAGATTTGTTCACGCCACAAGCATCCAGAACATGCTGGAACCTTCTCCCAGAATCCACATATCTGTTCAAAAACATTCATTACAAATTTTCCGTGACGATTGGAACAGCAAAAACAAGATGCAAATTATATCAGATAGCAACACTGAGGCATCGTAATCAATTTTGGAGAACATTGAATTGTGCATGATCTGACTACAGATTATAAACGTAAGTTGATGAGCACTATGTGTTCCGTGTGACGGTGTGAGACAAAAGAAAACCAATTTATACTAAAACAAGGGTGCTATTTACAGCCATGATTTTATTAAACCCATTGAACAATGGACTAGCTGTCCTTTAGAAACAATACAGCAATAAGAACAAACTGCTAACCATCATACGGAAAACATTGCATGAAATAATTCACACCACAACTTAAACGTCAGCTCTCCAATATGAAAAAAAAAATAGAGGAAAAGGGAATTTCCTGAAACTCAAACAGAGACTCGAGGCCCCTCACTTCACCTTCCCAACCCCTCCCCTCTTTTCCCCTTACCCCCTTCTTTATATCTAAAGACATTTTGTGCACGTGAGCTATTCAAATTAAGGAAATCCTTATCTTTGAGTAGTACTGCATTAGCACAAAGCAATTGAAGAAGAACGAGGTGGCTGTTGATCTGATCTTCATTAATTCATCGATCCATATTCATTATGTATTTTCTAACAAACTACATCATAAAAAGAGGTGGTTGTTGCTTCACTCTATTTACTTGTGCGATTGTCAGACTCACACCACTGATCACTCCCCCCTCATCATGCACTATTCTTTTAAGAAGAAAGAGAAAATGAAACTAAAAGACTTCTATTAGTCAAAATTTCATGATATTGAATCCACAATGCAGGTCACCCATTACAATGCAACTTTTGAAGTTTGAACTTTCCACTATAACCAACAGATAACGAAACAAATTTGATATCATAACAGATCAGACTTGTGATATCAAGAAAGCATAATATGAAAAACTATAACAGTGACATTATTATAACAGTTTCTAACCTACCTCCAATTCGTCATTTGAACAAAGCGTTGCAACCCAGATCCCACAACATGCCAAGTATTGCTACTGCTGTCATGAGTGATCTCAAACTCATTAATAGACGCAGTTTGCTGCTTACGCACCATCTCAGCTACATGATTCAAATTGACCGGGTCTTCCATATCAAAACAAAAGAGACTTGTCAACACAGTGAATGAGTAACCTATGGAGTTAAAGCTTATTTATCCTATAAGTACAAGCAGGTATGGATGTTAAACATTAGTCAGCTGAAAAAAATACTTATAAGCTCTGCTTTTCTCTTTCTTTCCCCTTTTCTTCTGTTATTACACACACAGAATTTTGTTTCTTACAATAATGCGAGACCATTTACATTAATGTATTCATTCCATTTCTCTTCCATTTTCGATCAATTCCAGTGTCGCTTAAATTATAGTAAAGCTTACTTCCAAATTAAACAGTGACATATCTATTTGATAGCCCGTCATCAAACAATCTTCGTAACATGTATAATTTAAACAACCCTATAGTCCATGTGATAATGTGAGAATAAAACAAAATCCACAAGATAATATATGCATGCATTTAGTTAAGAAACCCTTTTAATATAGAAAAAATTAAAGTAAACTGACCTGGGAACTCCTCCTCGGCCACTTTATGTTCTCGTAGAAGCTCATAAGCAGCACAGCTCACTTCATGAGTACCCTCTCTTTTCACTGCACTCATGCAAAAAACACGAATCCCACGAGATTCTAAATTTTCTTTGAATGATGACCAGTTTTCATATGCATCTGGAAGGTCCATTTTATTAAACGCAACTACATAAGGCTTTTCAGCAATTTCAGGGCTAAACAGTTCCAACTCCAAACGTACTGCATCAAACTCAAATTCTGGCTGTTGTGATGAGCCATCTACGACATGTATCTGACATTTCCAGAATGATGAATATTTTATCAATAATGATGGTGTTGATAAAGAATAAAACAAAACATTTTTGCACAAACTTTAAATTAAATAAGGGAACTATATTAGCACTCCAAAATTCTCATTGTGCACTCCAAACATTCTATATGTAGAAAGAAAAATACACTTGTGAGGAAAGCGCAATGAGATTTTTGGAGTGCCAATAACAATTCCTTTAAATAAGAAAATTTGAAACAGTGATTACTAAACAGAGAACAAAAGGGAGTTTTCATTTTCCTCAGCCACAGAAAGAAGTAGACTTAACATTCATCGGAGACTGTAAATTTAGCCTCATAATTTTGCATATATTCTATCATGTAAAGAAGGACACAATGGATGATACCAGAAATTGATTAAAATGACCACCAGAAAAGACCGTATAATTTGGTTGAAGGAGAATTCATACTGTGTTTCCACAGGGTAATATGCGAAGATGAGCTAATGACAACTAAGATGATAAAAAATATATCAAGCTATTTTAATCTTCGAGCATCCAAAATAATTTGTAACAAAGTTCCACATAACTTGAGAGATGATGGTCAAAGCCTATACCAGGGCAGAACACCTCTCAGTGTGCCGTAGGAACTCATGGCCCAAACCGAAACCGCGGTGTGCTCCTTCAAGTAAACCTGGCAGATCTGCTACTACCATTGTAGAATCATAGTCAAACGAAACCACACCCAGATTGGGAAGTAAAGTTGTGAAGGGGTAATTTGCTATTGCTGGCTGAGCAGCACTTATCACACTCAAAAGTGTGCTTTTCCCTGCATTTGGGGCGCCCACTATTCCAATATCTGCAACCAGCTTTAGTTCCAGCTCCAACCACCTGATCAATAATACCAGCATTTATTCATACTGTATCCCTAATTTTGAAATCGCTGGGACCAAGGAAAGGCCATTGATTGTAAGATATCAGACAACATAGACCAATTTTTAAGAATTATTTTAACTAAGCTAATCTCAACTGTTTGATATACTGCCTAGCTTTCAAGATCAAATCTGCAAATCGAGCTTAGAGAAACACTACAAGTCTACAAGTGGGTCTACTTTTACAGTAACATAAGATCTCCTGGAAAGCACCTAGCTTCTAATTGCACCAATATTTAGGTCACCCTACCAATTTCAAACTGCTTCGGCGCATATCATCTTCTACTGCCAGAACGATGTCTCAAATCAATCCTTCAAAAGTTTTTACCATTGTTTTAATTTTGAATGACTACAGACTAACAAAACAATTCCATCTACCACAAATCATCCAAACAATAATAAAGAATCAATGATGACAACAACAGCATGCTTTAAGTTAAAGCAATTCAGATTGACTGACAAGAGACTCAAAGAGGGGTAAACTCACATCTCGGGACCCTCTGCACCATTCTCAGCAATCCTGGGGACCTTATTTGTCCCGGATTTAAACGAAGCGTTTCCTCTCCCGCCTCTCCCTCCAGGCAACAACAATGCACGCTGCCCCGGATGCAACAACTCCAGAAGCACCTCATCCTTCCCCGCCTCTCGGACAACAGTCCCGGGCGCCACCTTAATCACTACGTCCTCTCCCTTAGCCCCATTCTGAGACTGCCCTCTTCCATGATCACCTCTCCCTGCCCGAAAATGTACGCTGTTTCGAAACGGCAGAAGTGAATTCATCGACCCATCCACCTCCATATACACATTCCCACCTCGCCCTCCGTCGCCGCCTGAAGGTCCCCCCAAAGGCACGAACTTTTCCCGCCGCATTGCAACCACGCCGTTTCCTCCGTCCCCTGCCTTGGCAAAGATTTTGGCGCGGTCGAAACACCGCATTACCGCTGGCACTCCCTTCTCCTTCACTTCCACTTCCTCCAATTCACCCTCATTACCGGAGAAATTCACAGCTTTGCCCTCCTTGAACCCTAGGAACTCACCGTCGTCGTTTTGATAAACATTTTCCAGTTCGCCGTCAATTTCACCATCACTGTCATCCTCCTCCTCCTCCTCATCCAGTTCAGAATCGTAATTCCCATCAAAGACCTCAAATTTCCCAGAATTCATCCCTAATTTCTTATATGTGCCACTTTCTTCCTCCTCCTCTTCGTCGCTGCTTAAATAATCAATCTCCTTCTCAACCACCAATGCGGCATTTGACTCAGAGAGCTTCACCTCAGACGAGAACTCCAACAACGACGCATCGAGGGACGGGAGAGAGAAATCCTCTCTGGGAGGCAGGCGAGTGTAGGTGGTGGCCTCGACGCCAACGGAGGACAACTGCTTCGCGCCGGTTCGACCCTTCAGCCTGACGTTAGGGTTAGGGTTAGGCCTCGGAGTTACCTGCTTCTTATTCGGAGGCTTGCGAGTCTGTGGGACCCTCGGGCGAGCCATGGCGCACGGGCAGAAGCTTATGGATATGGTCGCCATTTTCAGGCGCGGCAAAGTGAAACGAAACTCCTGAGTTTTCTTCAACTCAACTGGAAACAGCCTAGTGTGTCGGCATGCCACGTGTCCTGTTCTGGATTACGTTTTCGAAACGCAGCGTTTTGTTCATGGGCTTTTATTCTTTTCCCTTTCCTTTGCACCCTTGTTAAGCCATCTCTAGCAGCGCTGCAGTGGACCCATGTTCTTGAATTATTTGGATCATAAGTACGGGACGTTGGAGCAACGGTATATTTGTGTTATACAAGTTATTTTTTTTAGAAAAAAAGTTATACTCTAGTTAGCAAGGGATTATATACTAGCTAGTTGGCACGGTTGGCTACAAGGTCTCAAGCATAAGACTACGAGCACAAAGGGTGAATGCTCCAAAACACTTTAGTTAGAGCATCCCCAATAGGGGGGCTGGAAAAATGGTAGATGTAACTTGTTTTGGAGCTCTGAAAAATCTTTGAGGTTTTATAAAAGAATATCTCCCAATGAGGAGCTATTTCTTTTAGGCTCTATATGGATATATAGATTTATTTATGTAGTAATGTGATTATGCAATTTTTTTTTATTATTATTATTATTATTTTTTTGTGTTAACTTTTCTTAAGTTGATTGACACACCCCGACAGGAGTCGAGGCATGCTGGCCGACACCTGAAAGTGACGTAACCAAAAAGGAAAGTGATGCATAAGAAAAATGTGGATAAATTTAAACTCAAGCTAACATTTATTTAATCTAAGGTAAAGAGTGCCCAGTAGTGGGAAGAACCCATAAAACACAAATGTTCAGAGCATATATGACAGTACGACAAAAGTTGTGCAGTCGAAACTAGTTAAAGTACTTAATACACAACCAGGAAAATGCCCCTACATTTATCTATGGAAATGTCAGAATACGCTAGAGATTCCTCGTATGCCACAACGAGTTTAGCTATCTAAGTCCTGGATGGGCGAAAAACAGAAGGGTGAGTGGGCAAAAACAAAGGTTTATAAAATACATTTATTTCTGAACAAACTAACCCATCGCCGTACAACATGTATAGTTTCCAGAAAATCATACTACATATAAGTATGAAATCAACTGTAAATCAACAATAAATCCATAAATACGCTAATCATAATATCTCAACAACAGCATAAGTAAAACCAGGTGCTCATCAATCTATGCTAACACATGAGTTGATGTAGAGGGAATCTGACATGAACATGACTGGGTGTAATCATAATATACGCTTGAGTACTACAATCACGTGAAGACTGGCGCTAGGCGCATCACATACAAGTATGAGTTGCCTATTGCAACCTGTACGACAGGACTGTCACCTACAATGGATCCAAGGTGAGCGTGCGATGCGATGTGAACATACACGTGAAACCTGGCCCTGACCCGAGCGAGTATAACACCGGCAAGTATAATGTGTATGAACATGCCATGACAATATGTAAATCTCAACAATATAATGGCATTTTTAAAATTAAATAAAACATGGCATGATAGGCGTAAAATTAATCAAAACACTTGTGGAAACTATAAAACTTTATATTATATATATATATATATATAAACAAATGCCCACTCACTGATACGTCGATGGATCGTAGCCTCCTAGCCTTGTTTGTCCTCGTACCTCCTCGAGGTAAGTCTCACCTATATGTGAAATAACTTTACTAATTAATTAATTAGGACATACACTAAAAGGCTAGGAAAATCCCCCATAGTTTGCTTAAATGGAGAGTTTAAATATACGAAAACATTCTACTCGACATCATGGACCCGTACACGTCAAGCACACGCTGCCCTGAGGCCGGACGAGCCCTCGCCCTCACGTGCAGGCCACGCGCCTGACAAACTGACAGAAACCTTAGGGAATATTCCGTCAGATTTGACTGAATATTCCGTTAAGTTTAAACGACGTTACCTAACGACGTCATAATTTTCCATTAACTTTAACAGAATATTCTCCTTTTTCTCTAGTTGTCCTCCGCCGTCCGCTGCCATCTGGTTCGCCGATTTCTAGAAAAATTCGCTAGATTTTAGAAAAAAATTTAAAACTTCATGTCTTCTTCATTTCTCAACCATTTTTTATGTACTTTATATGGAAATGAAGCTTATGAAGAGTAGAACAAGTTTATACATTTCAAAAGTCCAATAAGTGGATGGGAATGGACTATAAAAGCCTCGAAACTCTAGGCCCTATTTTCATCGTCTCAAACACGTGTGTTCTCACGTTGGCTCCACTTCAAACCTAGGCTAGTGGCCACAAGGAGTTGCCTGGATGTCTCTAAACCTACCAAAACCAGTGCAACTTAAACGGAAAGTAATCAGAAAAATCTACACCTGAGTCAGAGCTTTAAGCTGCTCTGAGTTAGACACTCAAAACTCAACCACTTTAAGATCGGCTTGTACGGATGAACTCATGAGGATGAGGGGAGCACGATGGTGGTGATTTAAAGGTCGATCTATGAGGTTTGATGATGATTCTTTGTTGTTGCAGAGAGAAGGGAGACTCGGGTGAAGGAGAGAAGAAGAAGAAGAAGAGAGAGAGAGAGGGAAATGTTCTGATTGGACAGAAAGAAGAGATTATCTGATTGGGTGAGGGAAAATAGGAGAAAAGTTGATTGGTTGGTGAAGGAGAATAGCGCATGGGACAGAATTTAAAAAGAAGAAGTGATAAGATTTCTACAATTTGAAATCACATGAAATCTAACGCGCCTTATCAAAAACAGTAGTCTAACACTAAATTATTAGTGCACACGTGTACAAATCTACCCATTGTTAACGCACTTTAATTAAACGTAACTTCTTCATTACAAATCCAATTCGGGTCTAACTCGCGCTCACGCATTCGTAACAACGAGTACTAATTAATTACAATATCGAGAAAAATAATTTAAAAGCCGAATAACTACGTCAACGTCAGGTTCCACTTTAGCCAAAAATGGCATATACGTCATTTTACACCCTCGGGGAGAAAATTACATGGAAAATTAGGGACGGGTCGTCACATTGATTTTTGGACTTGTTATCTTAAAATTTTTTTATGAATTCTCTTATCTCAATCTCAGGCGTTGAAAGATACAAATTCTCACTTCGCCCTCTGAAATAATTTGATTTTTACGTACAACATAACAATTTACCTAGTATCAATCGGTAAATTAGCATCATACAATTTTGATTTTTTTTTTTTAAATTTCACCCACCAATGACCATGAACGTTAAATCAATTTGAAATTTCTAATTCTTATGAAATTTAAAACACTCATTAATTAGCCAAATTGCAAGAAAAATATGTAAGAAAAAAAGAAATAAAAAAAAAAGAATAAAAAGGAGAGTATAAGTTTATTTGGAAGTAGAGGGAGATTGATGAAATTTTGCTCATATGGGTTGTTACTTTTTTTGTGGGATTTATTGTTTTTTGGGGCTAGATGTAGCCTAATTTTATGCTACCAAAGAAAGGAAGTTGCTTGCCTAAGTAGTTGATCTAATTGCATTTTCCGGCTCATTGGGGATGCAATTTCTTGCCAAGGCTTGAAATGTAGCAGTCTTATGGAGGATAAAGCCCCTTTTGGAGATACTCTTACAAACTCCTTGCACTTGTTATTTTAACAAATGCAATTGTATCTTAATACATTTAAAATGTTTAATCATATCTTCAATAATTAGTTTTAATATAGGAAAAATGCTAGAGAGACCATATTTTTGCACCACATTCATGTATCATCTAATGTACTATGATAAAGAAAAGAGTATTGCTACTCTTACCCTATTTTTCATACCACGTTTGTGGTTGTACCACCTCCCTAATAGAGGTAGGGCTCACCAATACATGTGGATCTCATCTCTGTTAGAGAAATGGTACAAATGTGGTATGGAAAATGAGATTGAGATCCACTCCGGATCTCTGTGTTCGAAGCCTGCAGACGAAAGATCCAGACCACTCAATTTCAATCCTACGGCCATCGTTCACCTATCCCACTGACCCACTTCACTAAAACCCAAGAACTTGAACAACCTGAATATCTTTCTCTCTCTTGAATGGTCAGATCTCTCGGTTTGCAGGCTCGACACACAGAGATCCGGAGTGAATCTCTTTCCTAAAAAAATGTGATAAGAATTGCTATTTTGTAAAGAAAATACTCTCTAACAACTAGATTTTACTCTTGTAAAATCAACTCTTCCCTTAATTTTAGAGTGCATTGTATCTTCCCACCTTTAAGTAACGGTGAGCATTATTATCATAATAACAGTGAGCATTATTATTATCTTATATTCGAATCTCATGGATAGCAGACTCGATATTAGATTAGATTGTCTATTGTGTAACTTAGATGAACCCTCTCTTCCCTTAATATAAAAATATCGATGTACTAAAATAAAAAAAAATTTAAGTCACTCATTAAATGACAGTTAATACGATGATACTCCTCACCACATCTTACTTTTTGCTCATTCACTTTCTCACCCCTACACCCTAATTCTCCTCCCTTTTTACTATAACTCCATAGTCCATAGTAATATCACACCCATGTGTGTAAAGTGGTGGTTGAAATGATAAAAAGGAAGGGAATTTTTGGTAGGGCAAACCCAAAATCTTGATGGATCCTTTTTGCCCTAATTATGGAGGGAGGCAGGGAACTTTGTGGGTCGTGGGAGCTAAGGAATCTGTGGTGCTGTGTTTGGCTTCATATGAGTTTGTCATACATTCACTCAGTGAACAGTCCCAAGTAGAGAGAATATGGACAAATTTGTGACTTATTGGACAATGAAGTCGTCGGTAAACGCATATAGGCACATTGTAGTTATGATGAGTGGTAGCGAGCTCATGAAAAACAATAGTACTTGGAAGTTGGAAGTGAATGCCTACCTAGTTGTTTACTCTTCTGTTATGTGCTCCACCATTTTAGTGGGTTTATCTGAGTGAGATGTAGGATTACGTTTATATCTTTTGTTTGCATCATGTCATTTCATGTTTGTGTAAACATAAAAGAAATAGTTAATTTTAAGTTGATTCAGTAATGGGTGTTTAGACTCGAGCT